CCTAAAGATGAAAGCTGGCTTCCTAACTTTGCATTTACAGGGTAAACAATTTAAGTTAAGATTTTTAATTAATATTAATTTAAACCATCTGTCCACCATCTGCTTATTTCTGATGCAAAATATGAGTTTCTTTGTGATCTTTAATCAGACACTTAGCAAACGCACATCAATACTTATCTTTTTTAAGTCAGAAAATAATTTTTAGCAAATGAGTTTTCAGACAAGCAAACTATTTTAGCAATAATTTTAAATCAAAACTCACTCAACACCAGCACCTATTTTGGAAAAAAAAAATCTCAGAGAAACAGAATACCAAAGGTCCCTATTTTTATTATTCTCATCAGGTTCCTGGTAGCAAAAAGTAAGTATGTACCAAAACATAATTGATTTTGTAGAATCAGTTGAGGCTTCAGACCACTTCACTGCAAGTCAACAATATATATAAACTCATAAAGCAAAACACTTTCGTTAGCACATTTAGAAAAGGCCTACATAGTCAGAAAAATGGAACCCCTCTATAACAAAGGCAGCTTGTTTACATACCTCACCGAGAAGCTAATTTTAGATCTCTTAATTAGAAAAAGACTAAAATCTAGAGCTCATTAACTGCAGTTAGAAAGTTGTTGCTGTGCAAGTGGGTATGGAGCCTTTAGCAATTACAGTCATAGTTGCACACAGACGCATTACGCGGCTAGACCGCTTACCCCAGCCTCTTCCATACAGGAACAGATTGCTAATTACAAAACCCTGCCCCAACACCTCCTCTACCCCGAGCAGCGAACATCCGAACTGGAACAAACTTTCTCACCTCAAGTTAGGATTTTAAATTTTGTAAGTGTCAATATGGTTCTTAATTTTGCTTTTTATTGTTGTCCCTGATGGGGACCGTTGTCCCTGATGAGGTCTCTTCCCACTGATTGTCCCTGGTGGTGTAAGAGACCAATAAATGCAAATCTTTCCTAAAGTTACCAGTTATTATTTGGTATTTTAAAATGCAGCTTCCTCCCTCCCCTCCCATACCTTTCCATTGCCGTGAATGCCAAAAACCACCTCTTAAAAGTAGCCTTTTCTGAAACTGAACCAAAATCTCGATGCTCAGGAGTTTCCATCAGATTACTGGTAAAAGTAAATGCCACAGAAGCCAAAAGTGGAAGCACATCACACGCTCCATCAGGAAACCTTACATATTGAAGGTCTTTATAGAGAAACCACCAGGGACCAAGCATTTCTTTGTTAAGATTGTAAAAAAATCCTTCAACGCAAAAAACTAAGTAGACATGTCCATACAGAAACATCACACTCCAAATCCCAATAGTTTAAGTCACTGAGCTATTTTATTTAGTACCATAGAAACAAGTCAAAATAAGAGATGTATACTTGTTTCTGTTTTTTTTTTTAAATATGGCTACAGAGAATTAATTCTTTCCCATCCAGTCCCTCAGTCTGTATTACACCCATGCTGCAAATAGCCCGTTTATCTCCTTTTAGTTTATACAGTCTACTAGAAATAGAAGATTGATGTGGAAAATATGAAAATTGTCAACTTTGGTAAATCTGAGCACAGAAGCCAGTATTTGTATGATAGTTAAGAAATTACTCTAATAATGCACTCTGGAGCTTTTTAATGCTAATGATGAAAGACAAGCATTTCAGATGGCATCTAATGATGGATGTTATTTCAGTAAATGCTTGCAGCAGGCTTCAGCTTGGTAAGGAGTTAATGTAAATTACCTTTTGCCTTGCCTAAGAGAGAAAAATGTGATATGTTACTGTAGGTGTATTGTGATTTAAAAGAAAAGAATGACTTAGCAGTATTCTAAAAGGCAAATGTCCTTAGTAAAGAAAACAAAGATTATTTTATTAAAAGTTAGTCTCAGAGAGTGTTGTAAGGTTTGGTATCATTCCTAATAACTTGTCAAGAAAAGGAGACAAAGTTTAATCCCGAGAAACAATGGCAAAACTGTTTCAAGCTCTTTAAGTTCTCATCTAGCCGTCTGCCTACGCTGCTGACCCTTAACAAGCAGAGAAGTTGGCTTGGGAAGTACTATCATCTCAATACGACAGACTACCTCTCACCGCTCTTTCCCCTCCTTACTCTTTTCTATTTTTTTTTTCTTTGAAGACTATCGCATTTATGTAATCGTCCTCTTATTAGGGAGATTCTGCTGAACTGCTGACAATGATGTACAGTGGTGCTTCGCCGGCGTGACGTTTGGGGAAAACGATTCTGCTGCACCACCACACAAAACCAATTAGAGAACTATTTTCTGCGACAGGTCAGGAATTTACATTGTTTCTCATAGAAAGATGTGCTTTTTAATTTCTTTATTAAGATGACATCCATGTCCCTTGCGACTTTTAGGGATGACAATCATTTGCTCATCACATGGGAAAGTACAATCAGCGAAATCGCATTACCGGTACGGGGCAACGCCGGAAACTCCAAGCATCGTTCCGCATTTTCCAAATGAACTAGTTTGAGAACCAATAATTAGAACAATATATATTGATAGGATTTTTTGACAGGACCTTTAGACACCCACCAGGGGGGTAAAGTAATGATAGTCCATATACAACAACAAACATCTACTGCGTTATGTTTGCTGAACATATAAACATCATCTCTGTCAAATCAGTAAGACATATAGAAATCCGGTACATCTTCGGATCAGGACATGATAGGAGGTACTAACTAGCTTCGGCTTCTTTCCTGACTTGTGGATGACAAACTGTTTCTCCTTAGTGAACTCCTGATGGTCGGTATTTTTATACCGACAAAAGAGAACTTAAAATGGTATCTCTGTTATGACAAATTCTCAAATCAAAGATTTCCCTGCATAAGGATGAAATGGTATCCAGGACGCACTCCATTTATCTCAGTCTCTATCAAGGAAGGCTTCCTCAAAACACCTGAACACAGGGAGATGAGTTGAAACAGAATTTTGTTTAGCATGCAAATAGAAATTTGTGAAACTAAATTACACTCATAGACTGTTTAAACACACAAATCTCTAAACATAGTCTTGCATAAAATAATAAAGAGGTGACGCAGATATAAATATTTGATTGAAATACATAAAGGATTCTGAAGTATGACTATATCTGGTTTTATGAATGTACTAAGGTAGTCTTTGAATTATAACTCTGTATTCATAAGAAGCCATGACTGTATACAGTGTGAATGTTACATTAACAATAAAAAAGACCGTATTTCAACAAAAGTTGGTCTTGTACTGGGTCAAACTCCCTTTCAAGATGGAAAAAAATCTGAGCACACCAGTTTGAAAAGAAACCCCCCCTGGATGAATTAAAAAATTACACATTTAACAGCAGTAAAAATGTTCTTCCAAAGGGGAAAAAAAGAACAAATTTGGTAAGAGGAAGAAAAATTTTATTAATTAAAGATACAGCTTGCAATTTAATGAATTGACTTTTGAAGAAAAGAATATTTTTATTGCAAAATATTACTTTATATGGAAATATAAAGCTAATGCTACTGCCATGAAATTAAAAAGCAAACTTTATACTTTACATGTATACTATACATTTTTATTTGAAACTCCCTGAAAATACAGTAATAGCTAAAACTGAGACAGACTTAACTCTGAAATTGATCACTTGAACAAGGATATCAGCATGTAAAGATCCGTTGCATCCAGCTACACTAGTAAGAGTTTGCCTTTTTCTGAACAGAGGAAAATACTGGATTTTAAACTGATGTCAGTAAAAAGTACATCTGTGTGCGTATTTATGTATATGTAAATGTGTATATTTAAGATTCATTCAAGATTCCAGTTTCATTCTATGTTTTTCTTCTACAGCTAAGTGTCTACGTGAAATCACTCATATGTTTACATTAGAGCTAACGTAGTAATGCAGCTATAAATACAGAAAGCAGCAAGGTTATATCATACTTTATTATATTGTGATTTTCAGCAAGCATGATCAGAGTAAGAGGCTGGCAACGGGAAGTTTCTGTGTTCCAGTCCCGATTGTATCACTGAGTCAATGTGTCATTCATTCCCTTGTGTTCCTGTCAACCAGTTGTAAGATGTGTGAGAACATATTCTGCCCTTTTTTTCTTAAGTGTTTTCTAAATTTAATCTGGTATTTTTCTGTGCAGTGTCAAGATGATGTTAGTTCTCCCTTCTTTAGGAAAAAAAAACAATACACAATTAAATCTGCTGGCAAAACCTAAGTTCATACATTACATGCCTACAAATTCTATCAATATGCATATATACCTATATCTGTATATAAATCTACATGCTCATAATTATATCCTATGGATAATTATTAGGCATAGAATACACATGAATTTAAGAAATGTTTATTGGCCTATGCTACACAAAAATATTTTTGGTTAAGGAAGATTCTAAACTAAACATTTGAATTAGTATTTAACTTCTCTGATGGAAAAAATCAAGAGAAATACTAAAATATTTCTCACCAGCAATATGTACAGTGAAAATATCTCCAAGTTTCTTTTGCTGATCCAGTAAAAATTTGAAAGCATCTTTTCTAAAAATCAAAGCCTTCCCAAGGTAAGGAATCCATCCATTTATTAGTGGGGGCTCTCCAGTCTTCCTGTTAAAAACAGAAATAAAAAATCAGGAATTAACGTCGGCATGAGAGCAACTCATCTTTATATCTATTTATATATTACACTTAGATCCACCATCTACATATATAATTCTTGCAATGTGTAATATGTTGTACAGAAAGTTCTTCAGATATGATGGCAGGTTAAATCTAATCACACCTCTGAGCACAGAAGGCTCTGTGTGGTGATAGGAAAAGTAAGTGAGAGATATTGAGATGCATTTAACTACAGGTCGTCCAGTTATTACCATCAAGTTACCAACACAGAAAAATGACATTCAGTAGAAAATCTCCCAGCAAAGTGTCCTTTTATTTTCAATATTTCCTGTGTCAGAGGAACATGTATTGGAAGGCAATTATGACAGATTTAGGTAAATAGGACGCCAACATACCACACGAAACAACTAGCCTTAGAGAGAACGCTTTAAGAATTTCAGTTTACCAGCACGCAGACCAGCTACCATGCTAACTAAGTACCTTTAATAAATAGGGTAATAATAGAGGCCAAACATTTACCATAATAAATCTTAGTCTCCATATATTTATAGACTCCTAAGCTAGAAATGTGTATACACAGTTTAAAGATTAAATTCTAGAGAACGATATTTGCATCCCAGACTAAAAAAGCAGCCACGGTGTGTTAGTTATATTTATAGAATAGTATAAAATACCTTCTAAGATTCTAACAAGTTACATTTTTCTTTAAAAAGAAAAAAAGATTCCCACACTATTCCTGACTGCAAGTAAATGTCTTTCCTTCATGCTGGTCTTCAGTTGCTTGAATCTGATTTACAACAAAGAAACATAAAGCGTGCTTGCCCTGGAAAAGATTAAAACAAATATTCACGAACAACTCTGCTGCTACATCCCATCTGTGAAGGTGACTTATACTACATGCAGAACAACTCGTTCTGATTAAACACAAGATATTTACTAGCTTGGATCTAATCAAAGATCAAGGGATCACAAGCTTTACTACTATCATACACAGCATGGATTTTTATGTAGCTGGATTAACCCTATCATAGTCACATTCTCCCTTGAACTGCTTTAACAGGAATGAAAAAAAAAAAGGTCAACATGATATGCTGCATTCAAAATTATTATTTTCGTAATTAAAACTTTCTGAGCAGGAAATTACAGGGGATTTGATCTCTCACTTTAAAGAGTTGCTATAAATTTAATTTACAGATTAACAGATGTGGCCAAACCAAACTGCATCTCTCGGTCTCTTTCTGTTTAACTGACTACTAATTCTGAATGTTAGTTTTCAAGAACATCCTTTTGCCCTCTGGAGAACCAGTAAAACTTCTGGTCCAAACACGACAATCTCACAGCCAACACATTCGTCCTGGCTTTTTCATTTCTTTGGGTTTTGTGGCTTTGGGGTTTTGCTTCTTTGTTTTGTGTTTTTTCTTTTTTTTACTGTGGAGAGGGTGGAGCACCTCTTTTTTCAATACCTCCCATAAACCACTGCATCATCCATCCTCTAGCACTCAAATAACAACGCTATTTACTCAAGTGGTCCAGAAAACTTTGTAACGGTTAATTCTGTATTAAGTGAATGAAAGAAAAGAACTAATCTGAGATTACACGAGAGGGATCACCAGCCCTGGAAGCATAACAGCCCACTCGATACCCTCAATTATCCTCTCCAAGCCCATAAAGAATCTGGATGATTTACCCATTTCCCCCCCGCCCCAGACTATTAAGTCCCGAGAGCGGCCGCTTTTCACTTCCCGGGCTGGACACTACATCCCGTAAGTAGCATCCTGACAAATATTTAGATAGGCTTTTTGTCATCTTCTAATTGAACGCATCTAATTTCACCCTCCACGTTCTGTCATTCGGTCAGAAGCTGTATTCTTCAGAAGCTCTCCGCCGGGTGAAAGGGAGGCAGCTCAGAAATCCAGGGGAAAATTAACTTAATGCTCCGAGTCTGCGGGATCACATCAGGGAGACATTTTGCCATCGCAAAGACGTGAGGGTCATCGTTCGCTTCAGACATGTTTAGCTCAGCAGCAATAAGCTTAACACTGTTAAACACCGTGTCAAGGCTACGCGGCTTTCAGAGGAAAATATAACACCAGTTCAACCTAGGACCCACAGCAGACTGATAACAGAAATGTGTCTTCATTTCTAGCTTTCCCTCTCTTTGGAAGGCGGAGGTCACCTCCATGACTTATCGACGTCTGCCAACACACAGCAAAAAGAGCGCAGCGTATATTTTAGTGCCTCCCAAAATACAATGCTTCGCTGCACAAACTTTTAAGCAGCGCAGTGCAGCTGACCCCGGCTTCCTGATGGACTCTCGCCTGCGTCCCGGGGACCTCCAGAAGTTCCTGCTGCCCTCAGATGCTACACTGGATCATTAACAAAGCCCACAGAAACTTTTACCGGTTAATTAATTTGTTTGCAGGCTTTAAGTCCGGACTCACACTTCCCAGCCATTGTAAAATTTGGTAATTAGATAAAATATTACAAATGTTAACGTTACAGTTTTCTCAGGTTATATATTGTATCAAATGTAAAATACAGTTAAGAAACATAAAAAAGGCAATATGTAGTGTTTTGATGGCAATTTATGACTGTAACTTTTTTCACCGAAGCATTCAGAACATCTTACCAGATTACGTTTTATTCAGACCTGGTTTAACTGCTTAAATTCTCATTCACTTAACACACCTCGTAATATTCCCAGGCCTTTTTGCTCCACGTTCCTATGTTTGTTACAGATTGGGCCGGTTTCGCTTACATCCAGGAGCATCTTTAAGTATCTGAGAAGTCTCTTTGAAGTCGGTAAGACTTAACAGACAAATTTCTCACATATGTGAGTGAATTTTACAAATAAAGCATCAGCAACATGTCCAATGCAATCTGTAAGTAGACAGATCAGTTATAAAGTGGAGGGAAAGCAACGCAGTTGTATCATCCATCATTGTTAAACTGATAATTTCAAACGGCATTATGCAAAAATCAGCTGGCTACAAATACAGTCTGTAAACAGAATGAACAGATTTTGATAACTGCAATTTTTCTTTGTTTTCACAGAGAAAAGATAGTTCCTTGTTAGCAAGTAATAAAGTTGAAATGTTTATTTGATCAAAGAAGGAAAGATTTGGAGTTTGTTTACAGTTTCCTTAAGGGAGATTTTTCAGCTCATCCAAAACACAGAAGTCACTGACTTGGGTGTGATTATTTAGCTACTGAGGTAAGGCAGTATTAAAATATCGTGGATATTGTAACTATGTCTCACTTATGCTAAGCACCAGTGATGCAATGAAGCAGGAGAAAAATCAGCTGCAACACAAATTACGTGAAAGGGTAAAAAATAGTATTTTTAAAATTTGACGTGTCTAAACGTTTAGCGAAAGGGAATTACCTGGGAAACCTAAATAAGGTGATTTGTTAAGCTCTCTGAACATTAACATTTATTTTTAATTGTAAAGAAAATACCCTAAAGATTCACAAACAAATAGACTTTGCCAACATTATCTCTCATAGAAATATTGTTGCTTTATCAAAGCAGGCAAGACTATTCTTTTGCTGGTTACACCACTTCAACTCCTCCAGTGTACGGCACAGGATCAGTGTAAATGAGAGGAGAATCCTTCTCATTTCGCTGGTTATTTGTATTCCCAGGGAGCAGATGCCTTCCAAATTATGCAGAAATCCACAGTGCATCTAGTACTATAGCAGATGAACAGGTTAATTTTTCTCTTTGCACATAATAAATCATAAGTGCTTTAACACCCATAGTCGCATTTCATGAACATAAACCTTCTGTTTAATAATGTCTGTTTACAACTAGAATCAGACATACAGTAATCTCTTGCCTGGGATAAACATTAATCCAGATCTGTCTAGAAAAATTATACAATTCATTACCATAAGTAATCTCTATTGTGCCCTGTGCTTAACCTTCATCTTTTTTCCTGTCCTATAATCTTGCAAATCCACCGGTGGTGTATGATTGGCATCTGGTGTTCACGCAGCCTTCACCGCACACAGCCCAGCCGAAGAAGCCCTACATGAAAACGTCACTCTGCAGGTACCGCCGGTTCAGCTGACCACTTCGCAACAGCTTTCACCAAAGGGTGAATAAAACAGCAAAGCCGGGGAGAAAAAAGGTCTAACGGTATCATTTGCCACCGAGGGGTCATTTTCACTTTCCAAACCGTCGTCACCATCCACAAAAATTAAAGGTATCGGTCTGATTTTCCCAGAGCATCTCTGGTGAAACCGTCACATACCACGTCCAAGCTGGAACACAGCGTGCCGGGGGACTTTAAGGAATGGAAATGGATGGGTACAGAAGTAGAAAAAAAGCTATTATGAACATGTCAAGGCAGTCTGAGATTATTCACAGGCTCGATCACAATATTTAAGCAACAAGACATGACAGACAGTGTCTTTCCAGGGGCTTATGAACAATCTAACTGTGAGGAAAAGAATGAGGCCAAAGGCTTCAACCCCAAGAAAGGTAATCCCCAGAAATGTGGTGTCTGGCATGTCTTCTTGTATTATAAAAGACAGAACACAGGAATCTTAGGACAGGAGAAAGCCAGTAAGTCTACCTTCCTGTTTTTTAATTTAGTAGTTACAGTTTGCCCCCAGACCTGCTCATAGCATTAGGTGTTATGTACCTCTGAGGACAGAAAAAAAAATACTATCTTCCAAATATTTGTCCACAACACAATTTTTTGATACGTATAAAATTATGCATGCCTTAAATACCCCATCTAGATTATTTGCCTCAGTGGCCTCCTGGAACCCTAACTTTTCCCTGCAGAACAAGCCAGATGAGAGGTTTAGCAATGTACAGTCTGCTACCGTTGAATTTTCAGCTTAAACACTTCCTATGGAGGTAAGGACCAGATGCTGCTCCTATTTGATCGCTATTTGGAAACTCATGTGGAGTAAATGGATGCATCAGGCCAAGTCTTGACAGAGAGATATAGATATGGATTGACTCAGCAAAGAA